AACATTAGAAAAGTTCTAAAGTTACATCTTCGCCCCGATCGCCATCACTAGTACAGGATTTGAGTATGATCGTTTTGAATAGTTATACACCTTTTTTTCGACCGTCTAAGCATCGTTAATTTATACATGGTGGAATCACGCTTCAGCTACACTATGGTTGGAGCACGAATTAGTCAACCCGACCGATGAAGGACCACGCTTTCACAGAACACCAGCGTAAAATAGCAACTTAGTGCTGCTGAGATTCATATGGTAAGTATAGAGAACTGAAGCCATTTTCACTGGAAACAAATCATTCTATTTTAGTCCTCAGGGGTGACTACACACCAGCATTTTGATTCTTCATGTCTATGATCACAACATTCAGATGGATTGTGTGCTCGTTTGCACCCTTATTAAAAAAATACTAACGTACGCTGCGTGCAAATGAAGTTGGAATTTTAAGGAAAAGTCCGTAATTTATGTATTAAATATATCATCACATAGGTAATCTAAAGTTATATTATTATTATGTTTATATTTCAAATTTTTATAGAAAACCCAAACCGGTTTTTAAACCAATTAGGTTGATACGAATACGAATAATAGTAATGTTTATTTATATTTACGTAAGTGTTAAGCCCGGAATAATAATATAAAATTATTTTTACTGATACGTTTAATTTTATACTGATATATAATTTATTAAAGCACCATTACCCTCTGTTGCCTCTCACGGCACCCACGGTGTGATATGGGGGGAGTGGATTATCTCACGCCAACACTACATAGCGCCACTAGGTTGTAATGTATAATAATGCAAGTTCTTTATTAAATTATGGTCACGATAGGACTAAGGTATTTCATGAACATTTTCTGATGTCATATTAACCGGGCTATTTAGTATTAATTTTTGGGTCTCATTAGGATTAAAAACAAATTAAAATAAAACTTGATATTTTTTTTACTTATTTTATCTTCTTAAAATTAGTTTTTATCAACTCGGCGGCCTGCCTCAACGGAGGCTAGCCATCGGCGCAGGACGGGATTATAGTGCCCAAGTGTATGCGCAAGCAAAGCACACGTGCACTCTCTCTTCCCTCATTCTCATAATCTGATGGGACGGTAAACCGACACGACCGGAGAGAGATCAGGCGCAGGACCAACGGTTTTACATGCTTTCCGAGGCACGGGGGTGAGACACCGCCAACTTCCTGACTCCGAGCAAATACTGAGAATTTATTGACGGAAAAACTCAATAATTAATTTTTTGGTCCGACCCAGGATTCGAACCCAGGACCTCATGATCAGCAGTCGCACTACTGCAACCACTACACCATCGAGGCAGTCGTTCGCAACTCATAATAGTTAAATATTTGGCATATTATTTATTGCGATAATAATAATTAATATTGATGAATTCGATGTTATAGTAACGATTTCTGGCAAGCTTAACTTTCTCCTCAATATCTTACAGCTTGCGGTGATACTGATCTGGTATACACGAGATATACTATATATTACAACTGTTTCTTCCCCTGTAATTATTGGCTAGCCAGCGGCCACCCGCGGCAAGCAAACGCTCTCGATCGTATGCTCAATTTTTTTTCAAAAGCGGTGCGGCCTACCGTCGTGCAAAAACCCAGCCACTAGATCTCCTTTCAACTTGTTATGTTAAGCTCTTAACCAAATCTAAACCGAATTTTCTTGACATCCTGCTATGAAAATCAATGATTTTAAAAAATGTATAAGTTATTGTATATATAAATATTCGAATATTCGAAAAATATTCGAGTTTTTTTTTAATTTTCAAAAAGTATTTCTTTTGATCAGTCCTATAATCTAATCAAATCTTTTACTCAAAAAACGACGTCGATTACCGTGAACCGCATCAAAATCGTTTGATCACTAACAAATCAAACACACAAATCTATTAGAGAGATATCATCGTCGAAGGAAATATCGAAAAAGTGTTTTTCAAAACAACTTGAAAACTTTCCGTGAAATCAATATTTTATAATAGGCTTTTTTGTTAAGCCGAATAAATTGCATCGATTGCTATAAATCACATTAAAATCAGTTGATTTGTTTGTGAAATATTCGATTTTGAAAAAAAATAAAAAAACGTCTCATTAAGTAGTATTTGGAACGTAATAATAAGAGACATTGAAGTTGGCGGGAGGTTCCAGGGATGGCCTGCAGGGTCAACCAATTTTTTTTTCTCTTTATTAGGTTTACCAGCAAATGCTAACACTAACACATCAAATTAGTACAGTTACTTAAAAGATACACAGATTACATAAAACAGTAAAGGAAATACAAACGAAAGATTGGCTTTCTTATTTTGGTTTTTCTACAAAGGTCAAAATTATGAACCTAAAGTACAAAGAATGCGAGTGCATATGGTGTAATAATTACATGAGTAGTTATATTACACTAGAAACTATGCGCTTATTTGCGTCGGTCGCAAGGCTGGGTGCTCTTTGTAGTTTATTTGCGTGTGTCGCGAGTCGCTGCGGGCGTTCACACGGTCTCAGTGTTGCCAGCTAATTTCTCTCCTGATTACCTCAACTGGGCTGGAAATATGCTTGCCATTTAAAAAAATCGCTTAAAATAGCAAAGTAAAGAGGACGGCTTGTTAAATTAATTAATGTTTACTCGCTGTTGCGAGTTAATTAACTCATTTTTGGTTGTTAGAATGAAGGTTCCAAAGAAATATTATGCTTATTACGTTTCTTGTATAAGTTAAAAGGGTATTGCCGCGAAATCTTATTGCTATAGATGTAAATAATGGTTTTGTAAAGTACAACTGCTCTTTGTAAATAAATTGCTTGTATTCGACATAAAATTTATCCAATGAAACAAGCGTTCAGGTATAGTGTCAGAAAAATAGTAAAAAAGGTATAATATCAAAAACTTACTATATCACTATCATCATCAGACCGTAATGGATTAATAGCCGAACACGAGCCAATCAAACAGTTTGGACGTCACACCACGCTTGACTAGGGATAAGAATCACAATACCACATATACTTTGTCTCTTTTTCCTGCCGCCAGTCTGAATATTTCAAGGGATATACGAGATTCCACCATCGTTCGGAGCGGCAAAAAAATATTTTTGCCAAATTCACCTTAGTCGCCGCCACTTCCTGGGTGTGTTGTGTTCAAACTACATTGATTTCGGCTGAAAACTTTGAAACTATTATCAAGGCCGGCTTTTAATACAGTTTAGTTTTGAAACATAAATCTGGTAACATTGCAACGTACCCATATTCCTGGTATACACATTGGTCGCGCCAACGCCGCCTGCGCTATTTCCGCACGAATACCGATCCCGCGCTGATAAATTCGCGGTGCTTGCAACCCGCTCATGCACGCTCACAAATGACCAGCACTTCATTTTTTGATCCGTGACATATTTCCATTTATATCTGCATAATATTGCACACATTCTTCTTTCGAAGTATTACTTAACACTTTCACTGTGCGATTTAAAGGCACAATAGTAAGAAAAAGGAGAAGAGAAAACGTATATTGATTCTTTCTCTTCTCTTTTTTTATTATTATTAGTCGGTGCTTCTTTTATTCCACTTCATAGTAAGTGGTGACGCAGTCAGTCGTCTTCGTAAAGCGCATTGACTTACCTTCTCTGTAGCAATCGAAAGAAAAACCTTATATATGGAGTATACGGGGAGAAGGTATTGGATAATTTTATTTTTAATAACATTAAAATAACGTTGACTATAATAATTTTTTCACTCTGCTTTTAGCTTATCACAAAAATTGTTTAATTTTAAGGAAGTTTAACGACTAATAAAAGTATAGAATAACCTTATAGAGAGCTATATTAGTATAGCTTTATTAGTAGTATAGTTGTAGCATGAATGGTTCGACTCGATCGGGGAAGGACCAGCCTCTCGCAGAATACCAGTGTAAAATAGCAGCTTAACGCTGCTGTATGCTGTCGTATGGTGAGTGTATAGAACCGGAGACTCTTTTTACTGGTAAAGAGGCATTCCATCTTAATCCTCACGGGTGGCAACGCATCTGTATTTTGTTTCGTGATCGAGGATTGATGTAGATGTGTATGGGCCGCAGCATCCATTTACCATCAGGTGGACTGTGTGCTCGTTTGTAACCGTTATCCTATATATAAGGAGAAATTTAAAAACCATCACAATTCGACATGCGCATTAGCGATTGCAGAACCTGATATGTCATTTAATTTGATTAAGCCTGGCTAGTGCCCACAACTCACGCCTAGGCGTGTATTTTACTTGTGGGTTGGAATTAAATATATTATTCGAACCACTGAGGATTCTAAGCAAGTTTTTAATGTTATCTATGATATCTGAGAGCGACCGCGGTTACATTGGTTGTACTTAGCTCTGTGGCTGGCAATCACTGGGCAATCAAAGAGAATGTGGACGGTCGTTTCCTCATATCCCAAGCAGACTCTAAACAAGTAGATGTTTAGAGTAAAAAGATATTTATAGAAAGAGCTAGAGACTTCTCCTGTTATGGCACGGGTGACCAGTCTGATGTCTAAAATTGTATTTGCCCATTTGGATATTTGACATCCGACATATAGATGAGATAGTTACATACTTCCAGCTCTCGGAGGCTATGAGATATTTAATGGCATTTTCCAGTAACTTGTACAACACATATGTGGCGGGATGGGGTAATAGATTAGTATTAGATATTAGATAGAACACTTTCAAAGTGTACATAACGTTAGCTTGATATCCTTTTACGCAGATTTCATTTATCATTTATTACGCATAATTTAGAGGACAAACAAAAGCACAAAAAATAATAAACATAAAAACATAAAAAACAAAAAAATATGTTGCAATAAATAGAGAAGGCCTATGGTAAGCAGTGAACTCTAATTCACTTTACCAGTAACACATGATTTAGAAAAGCAAAATGTGAATAAAAATATTTTAACGATTTTACTAATATGTTATTTTTCACTGGCGTTTATTTTATACAAATATTTAATTGTCCGACAGGTGCGACAAGAATGCGGGTCTCCAACAACGATAGATATTTCTGGTCTCACAGCACCGACTCCGACACCAGGTGCAGCCAGACGTGATGCCTTACGAGCTCCCCCTCCCGATACTGAGCTCCTACAGTTTGCTGCTACCCTGGCTGCTAGTAAGAAAATCTTCTCAAGCTTAGCTGATAAGCTATGTGATGAACCTGAATTTGCAACTGAAGGAAATTCGGAATGTTGGAATGGAGAATCGGTTGGAGAGTAAGTAGCAACATACACTCTTAACAGTAGTTTACTTTAACACTTTAAGTTATTTATTATATTAAAAAAAACAATAAACTCATAATGAATATGTTTAAAATTAACATGGACATAACGTGTAAAAATACCTTAAAAAGTATTCTTTTTATCGATTTAACACGTCATGGGTCAAGTTAATAACTCACTTATTTCATTATTCTTTTTTTTAATATATTTAAGAAAACAATAAAATATTAATGAATTTGTTCAAAATTAACATGGACATATAGTGTAGAATACCTTAAAAAGTATGTCCTTTTTATCATTTTAACACGTCATGGGTCAAGTTAAATAACTCACTTATTTCATTATTCCTTTTTTATTATATTTAAAATAACAATAAAATCACAATGAATTTGTTTAAAATTAACATTGGACATAACGTGTAAAATACTTTAAAAAGTATGTCCTTTTTATCAATATAACACGTCATGGGTCAACTTAATAACTCACTCGTTTCTTGAAGTTGGTTAGAAAGTACAAATAAATGAAAAATTAATTTAGCTAGCTTTTTTATATGCCGCCTGTGACTTATAAAAAATTCATAATCTAACTCACTGGTTTAATGGTAATCCAGTTTCTTCATTGATCACACTGATCAGTCTTACGTAACATTTTATGAAGGAAGCGAATCAAATTATCAAGTAGCAATGTCTTATGGCTATGGCATTAATATTAAACCCTCTCAGAAATGAGGGGAGGCCTGTGCCCAGCTGTGGGACGTATATAGGCTGTAACTTTTAATGTTTTATGGATATAAATATTTTTTAACTTATCCAGGTACACAAAATCGCTAGTGGCTTCAGCTTCGATCAGCGATCAAAAATACAACCCCGAGCTTACTGCAGGCTCAAAACAGGACTTAAGGGTAGCCGCACTAGGAGACAAATTACGTCAGGCTAGACAAGTGAGTATAACCCCACAAAAAGGTGTCATCCGTTTTCTGCTTAAATTTATTCCATTCTTTGTCAACTTTGCTGACTTACAAAAAGTTTCACTAGGGAGCTTAGAATAAATGTATGTTTTATGCGCAATTAATTGATTTAAAAAAAAACTAATTGCATCGCACCATGTGCACGCTGGCTATAATAAGATAACTGGATATCACATTACTTTAGTGAATATCATCTAATGATTTAATATCGTCATGTTTTACATCAACGAGGTAATAAATTGCCTTTTTGTGCTGAGCGATATCATGATAATAAACGGGAAACCAGTCGCAAATACGTCTTTAGAACTACGAGTAACGGAGCTGCATGACGCGTTACTATTAAATATGTTATTAAATTATAGCTTTTTGTTATAGTCTCAACAATTTTATTGGAAGGGGAAGAATTAATATGCTTAAGTTATTCTTGGATTTTCACGTTATATTACGTCCAGAGTAATTTTATGATCTATATTTTTTTATTAGTACATCCATTACAGCTCTTCAAAGTGCTCTGCTGAACATATGCCCCCCCCCCCTTAAATTGCTTTTAAAAAAAGGTATCTGCCATAGTTACCACGCTTCCGTTAATGTATAGACAACGCACTGCTGCCCATCTTCTGGTTTCTTTACCTCTGTCGCCTATTACGACCTCCATGGGACGATATGAGGCAGTGGAAATAGAAACTTTTTTATTTAATATAAATTATAAATAACACTTATTGAAAGTCACTCTTAAGTTTAATCCTTTCCCTGTCCCATATCTCATTAATCATGAACATTTCAATTGTTTAACTATTGTGTCGGTTTTGAGGTCAGGGAAACTGTTAATTTACCACTAAATACTGAATAGGGAAACTGCTAATTTTTTAATACAATTGATTAACTAGATCTCGTTTAGAAATATATAATCGATTTTTTTAATAACAAAATATATCCCGCAGAATATATTAATTATATAATTAATATACTATACGGGATTTAACTATGGCAGATACCTTTTTTAAAAGCAATTTAAGGGGGGGGGGGCATATGTTCAGCAAAGCATTTTGAAGAGCTGTAATGGATGTATTCATAAAAAATATATATCATAAAATTACTCTGGACGTAATATAATATAACGTGAAAATCGAAGAATAACTTAAGCATATTAATTATTCCCCTTCCAATAAAATTGTTGAGACTATAACAAAAAGCTATAATTTAATAACATATTTAATAGTAACGCATCATGCAGCTCCGTTACTCGTAGTTCTAAGGAAACCTGCATGTCTGAGAAATAAGAAAAAAAATATTTCGAAGATATGTGAAGTTCGCCAACACGCATTGGGGCAGCATGGCGGACTATTCCTTGCCCTAAAACCCTCTCAGAAACGAGAGGAGGCCTGTGCCCAGCAGTGGGACGTATATAGGCTGTAACTTTACTTTACTTTTTACGGGATTTAACATTTGAATATTCCAAGTGTAAATATATTTTACCAAGTAACATTACCTCTTTGTATCGTCGTCGTTTTTAGTGAGTAAATAGTTTTCGTACGCGGTAGAGCCACGCTGCAGCTACGAGTATATAATGGTTGTAGCACGAACGTGTCCGCTTGAACGACGAAGGACCACACTCTCACAGAATACCAGCGTAAAATAGCAGCTTAATACTGCTGTGTTTCGTAAGGTGACTGTAGAGATCCGGAGACCCTTTTTCAATAGAAACGAGGCATTCCATCTTGTGACAACGCTCCTTGATTTTTAATCGTGGATAATGTAGATCTAATCTATGGGCCACAGCATCCACTTACCATCAGGTGGACTGTGTGTTCGTTTGTCACCCGTATTCTATAAAAAAGGGTTGATTCACCTTTTCAATAGTGTTCTTGAAGTTATCGAAGTAATGTATTACTTGGTGTATCAAAACAAAGACCCAATATGCAGGTTTCCTATATTTCATATTTTTCTATTGTAATATGACTATAATAAATGGATCTGATCGACCGAGGAACGGACGAAGGAAGGAACGGACAGCGTAAAATATTTTAATAATGCTACTGTATTACGTATAATACGTGTAAAAAATCAAAAACGCTTTTAACAGGTAACGAAATATTAGATTTTAGTTTTTTTGGTGACAACGCCTCTGCATTTGGATTCGAGGATAGATTTGTGCAATCTTGGACCACAGCATCCACTTACCATCATAATAAGGGTATAAAATTACTTCTTATTCCTTTCTTTTTTCGATGGGGACGAAATGTTCACAAGTAGCAGCTTCGTACCGGTTAGCGAAGTGTAGGATGACCACACTAAATAGAGTGACGACCTAGTAAGAGATGCAGTAATTAATGGATGCAGGTGGCTCAGGATCGTGTTTTATGCCATTCCTTGAGGGAAGCCTATGTACAGCAATGTACTTGTATAATAATAATGATGATGATACTAAAATTACTTTGTTTTGTTAGTTGCTGGTCTCCCACTCATGGGGCAGTTCTCCAGCGGCGGAAGCATTCATGCAAGGTGACGAAGCTGGCGACGAAGGGTCAGGCTCGGGCCGAAGCTATACAGATGATGATGCAGCTTATGACGCAGAGGGCTCTGGTGAGGAAGGCTCTGGAGAACAGGATGTCGGTGCGTATAAAATAAGAGTTTCCTACATACATATTATAAACTAGTTTAGCGTGAAAAAGTAGCATTTGCTGCTGTGTTTCATATGATGAGTTACGAGAAACCTTATAGACTTTAGGGGTGCTATAGCACCTGCATTTTGATTCTGAATTGAGGATAGATGGAAGTGTCTATTAGCATCAGGGGACTTCACTCTAACCTAAACGCCGTCCACTACCATCTCGAGACGGCGAGGCCGGCTCTGCTCTTTCTGAACGAGACATAGGTGTCCTCTCTGGCTGATGTCTCGTATCTCTCCTGCCCGGGGTACAAACTGGAACACTCCTTTGTGCCTCGGGCTGGAGTTTGCGTTTAGTTTACTTATGAGGTGTTCTGTGTGTACATTTGTAACCCTTACTACTATACAAAAGATGCAGTACAACCTGCTGACTAACGAATGAGGCTCTGACACGAAATAATGATGGTTAATCAATTTGAGTGTTATCATTAATTTAACTATAATAACAACCTACGTACATCGCACCGCTGAATACCGCGCAGAACTTCCCTGATTTCTGAGAAAGCAATCCGTATGACGGATACAAATCGATTATACGGGTGATGATAAACAGCATTACCATTGCGACGATACTTGTGTCAAATCTGGTGTTTCTAAACCTTTTTGTATAGCGCTGTGAGTATCTTATTATTAAGTATTCTATGCTAGTCAGGTTTTTCAAGAATTTATAATAGGGCCTTTTTGAAAAGTGCTATAAGCGGATGGTGAAAGCTGATTGAGAAACCTTTATATGGCTTTAGTTGAATCGGTGGACTTATAGTGTTTGTTTCAAGTATAATTTTCTTTAGCAGTGCTGAAACAAGATCAAACAAGTTCGTATAAACTTGGAACTACGTTTTCTAATAACGAATTTAATAATACTTTTACTTCTAAAACATTCTCCTTGAACAATCGCAAGGCATTTAATGAGTGGGCGACAGTAGGAGTCGATAAGAGTAGACAAAGGTTATATGAACTTTACAATGAAAGGTCATATAATCCTAGCGTCGAATTTAGGGAATATGTAAAAAAATATTTCAAAATATTTAAAAGAGTGTGCTCCATAGCCAAGTCATCGTATTTGAGCAAGAAAATAAAGACGGCTTCAGATAAAATTAAAATGACATGGAATATAATTAATAGTGAAACTGGTAAGGGTAACTCTCGCAATCCGAACTATCAGTTAAGTTTTAACAATAAATTAACTGAATCAGATTTTTAAAACTTTGTTCAGCATATAAATTCTAGTTCATTAAAAGTTTAAATTGTGAAAATATATGCTAATGAAATTCGAAATAAGCAAAACCATTAGGGAGAAAGCTTTTGTAATACAGCTTAATATGGTAATATTTAAAGAAGTTCTTACATGGTAGAGCCACGCTGCAGCTATATTATGGTTGTAGCACGAATGGATCGGTTCGACCGGGGTAGGAGCACGCTCTCACAAAATACCAGCGTAAAATAGTAGATTAATGCTGCTGTGTTTTGTATGGTGAGTGTAGAGATTCGGAGATACTTTTTACTTAAAACAAGACACTCCATCTTAGTCCTCAGGGGTGACAACGCATCTACATTTTGATTCTTAATTGTAGATAAATGTAATTGTATGAACCACAGCATCTATTTACCATCAGGTGGACTGTGTGCTCGTTTGTCACCTTTATACTTTGCGAAAAGTTCTCGGCGGTAAATATATCAATATTAAAACAATCGATCTTTTATCTATATATCTCTCTATATAGCTTTCTATCTCGGTCGATCCAAAGCGAAACTTAACAGGTCCAAGCAAGTTAACAGAGTTCGATCCCTGCCAGCATTATTTGTTTAATAATTGCACTAAACTGTTAATTTAAATCTACAGTAAAATACGTCCGCCTGTCAATTGAAACATTTGCGGTGAATTCTTCTTTAAAATTGATAAGACCCATATTTTGGCGGGGACGGACATGGGTTAATATAAAATAAGATGCTGTCTATATTGAAAAAGAAAAAATAACTTAACAAACCATAGACTAATATATTCTTTTTATTTCACAACAGGAAGCAGAACATATGTCCACGAAGACAATTCGTACTCGTCGACGGAGAAGACGTCTACCGCGGCCACTAAGTCGCGACCTCTGCTCCCGTTCACGTTTGCTGCAGCCGTGTTCTTGCGTCTCGTCAGCTGCCTCACTTAATCTCGCCACTGAGGCCCTTTGACCCCTGTGACCCTATTTCTGGGCTAATCGAGCGCACCAAAACTGCACCGTGTGCAAGTCCTCATATCATTTATGTGCAGTGATGTGCGTTTCGGATGTTATTCGACTTCAGTAGCTGTGCGACTTAAAAGACATGTGACAAATTCCCAGTTAGTTAGTGACGAAATTTTAAATGAACATGTAGCTTAAGCCCTACAGTAGCTAGTCCCAAAACTAGTGTTAGCTCGACACAAGCTTTTTCGTTTACAACGTAATGTAGGGTTCGTAATCGAATCTCTTATTTAATGCAAAGAGCAACGCTTGGAAATCTATATCATTTTAAAGTCTGTAATTGTACAGTGCATATCATGTGTTTTCTATATATTTTTTGTACATATATCTCTAAATGTATGTAGTCATAGTTGAATGTATACTTCGTAACAGAAGCTTTTACTTCTGCATTTAAATACGTTGTGAAATAATTGTCGAAATAATACGATTTTATTATTTAAAGAATCTTTAATAATTGTTAAATTATAGCAGATTGGCAATAATATTATGAAAAAGTATAAAGTTTAGTCGAGATGATAAAGATTTAATAAGGGTCGACTGTAAAGATATGTAAATACCTAAAATCCTACTGGTCTAGGTGCTTAGCTAGAAAACATGTTTTGTTGCCATATTAATATTACGAATATTTTAATTTATGATATTAATTAAGTCATAATTTAATCGAATAATGTTATGTGATACAGATTAGTATTTTAAGTTAATGTGACGTTCTTTATGTGTCCCAGATATATTGTACTATTCTTTGGAAGAGTTATTATCTATTTCATTAAATAATGGCAATAAATATTTGTAGTAAATTATTTTATAAAGGGCCTATATCAAAATATGCTGGCAAAATATTCACCCATCATGCTAATGTAATATTCCTTAACAACAAAAAATAAAAAAAGTTTCCTTTTAAAATTTTAATGTGTTGAATTCTTCTGCAATATAAATTAATGTCAAGCGTAAGAAGTTACCGCTGTAATATTTATAAAAACATTAAATTTGCCCGCACGTTTTCGATTTATTTCTGTGCCCTTTTACATCTATATTTAGTAATTTTTCTTTAGGTTCGTAAGTAATTTAACAGTCAATTACAGCTCCTTTTATAATATAGCCCAACTTGGAAACTCAATTAAATATTGAGTATTAAAATACTTGAGGCATTCTGCAAAGTATGCACTAGCTTTCAATGAAAAAAAAACATGTTGAACGACCGACTGTGAATTTCGTTGATATGACCAAAGTGACACATTAATATCTTAAACTTGTGTTTGTAGAAATGTCAGCGAATAAATCTAATTGTTTAAAATGTAAAATATATAGATGTAATAAAAAATATTTAACTATTTGTGCTTTATAATGTAGATAATAAATAGCCATCATTTAATGATGAGCTTAAATTGTATTGTAAATTTATTGGACATAATAGCTAACATCATTATTGTTAACTCTCCAAAACGTTATTTAGTAATTCTATATGTTAAAGGAAGTTTCTCCTGAATGCTCTCAAATAAAAGCAAAGGTTTTGATCAATCAATTAGTCAATGAAATTTTAATGGCACAATCTAGAAAATAACGTCTTTTTAGTTCATCAGGTTTTTCTTCAAATTTTATATTGTTTCAACGTTACACGAACTCCATTATTTGTAATGTAATTAAAGACTTAATTTTATGCAAGTTGTTCAAGAAAATAAAAAAATTTTGAAAGGTTGGCAAACTAAACACAGAAAAAATTATGGATATTGTTGGATTATGATGAGTGTAATTTTTATTAAAGTACGAAATATAAAATTACACGCGAAGATAATAAACGAAAAAAAATCTTTATTTTACACGATTACTACATATTGAATGAAATAAATTTTATTGGTTTTGTCGATTTGATTTGACTTATTTTTACTAATTTTAATTATCGATTTTAATTATGATTACATGCGAAGAGGTTTTGCGAAATTATTGCTGTCTTGATTTGTATCCACGCTAGCGTCATGACCGATAAAGACTGCCGATGCCTGATTTTTAAATTCATGTAGCATTTTGTTTTTTGTTACGATTCGTTTTGATAGCGCATGTAAATTAGTTTTAATAAACTATTTGCTAAACAACTTAAGATGACTTCGTTCATAGAGCAAACACGGGCCACCGGTGGAGTGCTGGCCTCGTGTTGCTCTATGCCGTCGTCATATGTTGCTGAAACAGTACTTTGTTTCCTTTTCTTTTCGACCACTTTGAATAGACAAAACATTACATTTTTAAATAAAGAAAACCAGGCATCAGACGGTCGCAAACATAAATATTTGTTTTAACAATGATTGATCAAACAAATTGCTGTTCGACAAAGGCAACTTGTTTGACGCCGGTAAGTTAACAAGAAATGTATCTTGAACGATTTGTAAATATTATTGGACAGATAGTGTGTTTATATTATGGAAATAAACTCTGTACCATATTTTGATTGTTTTAATTTGAGATCCACTAAAGCAGACACTAATACTTATATGTTAATGTAATAAGGGTGACAAACAAGCATCACACAGTCTACCTGATGGAAAGTGAATACTGAATACTAAAGCCCATATCCCCGATTAGAAACCAAAATGCAGACGCGTGGTCACCCCTGAGGACTAAAATGAAATGCCTCCTTTCCAGTAAAAAGGGTCTCCGGTTTACTACACTACACCAAGGTGCTATTTCAGGCTGGTATTCTGTGAGGACGAGATCCATCCTCAGTCGAACTAAACCACTCATACAACTGTAACATAGCTGCCTTTTTTTAGAATAAGGGTGACAAATGAGCACATAATGAACCTGATGGTAAGTGTATGCTGTGGCCCAAAGACATCTACATTTATCCTCGATTCGATCGAAAAATCAAAACGCAGATATGTTGTCCTGTAAATAAACAAATTTCGGTAAGAGTGATCATTAAGTCGTTGCATGGCCCGATTGCCCATTTCGTCATGTGACTATGCCAAAAAGATCTAATGGTTTAACTATCAAGTTTACGCCAGGCGTAAAATACACATACCGGTGAAGGGAAGTGGCGTCAGTTTCGAAACGTCTGAGAGGGCGATCGTCAAACCTCCTACTAAGCGTGACGATTGAGGTAAATCCTCTTTTGACTCTTGAATTTTATGGTCTGATGAAGAAGAAAAATCAAATGTTGAACATAAAATCCTCAAAAGAGGAAGTATTTGCAACAATCAACACAGGTTGGTTATCATATCAAGCGTTATTGCGCGGAACACAAAGGTCGCGTGAAAATTATAAATTTATAATATATGTTTATAAATTTATAATTTATCTCAAGTTTAAACTCGAATGCGTTTCACGAAACAAGTTCTGCGGAAACATGCGAAGTAAAATGTAAAGCATGAAATTTGATAATGTCCATCTTAGACTTTTTTGGCAGGAGAAGAGCAGCAGCTTTCCTCCCCGGCCGCCGCGGGAGACGCCCCGGGCGTCGGGGGCTACGTCGTGGCCCCCCGGCCACCGTAGGCGCGGGCCTGTGGACGGCGAGCAATGGGTAGCTCGTCGTCCGTCCGTCTAATGACGACAGGCCGTGTCGACGGCGCGTTTTGTTCCATGCGCGCCTCAAAGAGTTGTCAGCAGCGTGAAGGGGCCCGCAAGGGCCGACGCCTGCCGGGGTTGCGGGCTGTTCGAAAGAGATACCGCGGCTCCGGAACGTAAGGGCACTGAAGGAACACGGATGGTTTTTAGTCAGTAAAAGTCTGACACTCCCTTACGCTCCACCCAGAGCGAAAGGGGTCATTAGATGATTTTCCATCCGCAAAAAAAAAAACTTTTTTGGCAAGACAAGAGTACGTCTTAAACCATATCTTTTATGAGGAGTAGTGCCATACTGCAGCTATATTATTGTTGTAGCACGAATAGGTCGGCTAGGCGGGGGCAGTGCCATGCTCTCACAGAATACCAACGTAATGCAGCGTAAAATAGCAGCGTAATGCTGCTATGGTTAGCGTATAGAACCGGAAATCATTTTTTAGTGGAAACAAGGCATTCAGAGGTGACAACGCATCTGAATTTTACAACAGCATCACTTACCATCACGTGGACTATGTGCCTCTTTGTCACCCTTATTCTATAAAATAGACCATAGTTTTCTAAATGACGGAAAAAGATCTCTGCGAATTGAAATGCTTATTATGCAATATGCATATGAAAGATGCAACAGAATGCAATAGAGGACGTGGCCTCCTTGCTTAATATTTTATTCATGTAGACCATTGTTTCATAGTTAGGGCACCGTCAGCACTATCATTACGTCAATGACTGTATGTTGTGCGGTAATATGTAAGTCAATGGTTTTGTGTAACAATATTAAACTGCGAACTGCATTTTTGTTTTCCTCTTTGTGGTAGAGAAGGCGTTAAGATTTTATTTATAACTCAAACATATTAATAAAGAAGTTTTTCACGTAATACTAATACGGATACGGATACAGATCATTTATCCGACTCGGTTTCGCCCGGATCGATATTTAGATTTAAGGTAATCATTTAAGACTATTTATTTTATCAATTATTCTATATCTCAAAAGAAAAATCTAGTTTTTAGTATAAAATATAGTTTACACTACTTTACTTACTTAACTTTACGAATAAATAGAGAACCATTACAGGCTCTCTTTTTGTTCGTAAAGTTTCATTACTCTTACGTGGTAGTGCCATGCTGCAGCTATAATAGTAGTTTAATTGTAGCACGAATAGGTCGACACGACTGGGGAAGGACCACGCTCTCACAGAATACTAGCGTAAAATGGCAGCTCAATTAAATGTGGATGTCTGTGGGTCACAGCAACCACTTACCACCAGGTGGACTGTGTGCTCGTTTGTCACCTTTATTTTATAAAAAAAAAACAATCGGTTCAGCCAAAGTGTAGCACTGACAGACACCCGGACAGACAAAAATTTAAAAAATGA